TTACGCACCGGCCAGTTCGCCCCACATAAGCGTTTCAACAAGTGCATGGTATTTGATACGCATTTCCAACGCAGCAGGTAGTGTACTGGTGCACGTGTCTTGCGTCACACTGGTCAGCGGTGTTTTTTGGCGCGTTGACTTTGGGAAAATATCTGTCGAGTTTCTCCGGTGCCGAAAGAATAATAGGTATTTTAAACCTAGGGGCTATCCGCTTCAATTTGTGAGATAGGCAGTGGATATACGGAACAACGGCAGGCCTACGTTTATATTCAGGTCTTTCACTCCTTTTGTTGGGATGCGTCAAGCATTCAGAGATCTCAAACAGAAATGAACTTGGTTATCCAGAATCTACCTGCTCGTCGAAGCTTCTCTGGGCCGTTTGGTGGCATAATATTATAAGTGCCGCGCTAAGACAACTCTTTAGAATTACTTTCTGATCAACCAGATATAAGCACTGCATTCTGGTACAGAGATACGCTATAGCTTGCTCAATAACGCTCAAGGTCTAAAGTTTACAAATGAGTTACCAACAAAGAGCATGCTTTAATTTTTCGGCCTGAAGCTTATATTTCAAAATAACCACATTTTCTGTATGTATTAACCACAGTCAAAGAAACACCTTGTTCCTTTTGATTCGGAACATTCCAAGATTATAGATAGAGGGATTGTAAAGACTTGTCTTAGAGCGGCACTCATGAAAGCATGCTACCACACGGCCCAAAAAAGCCTCGACTTGCATGCAGAATGACTCCGAGATTCTGAATATACAATTATATTTTTGTTTGACATCCCTGAATGTCTGACGTATCCCGAAAAAAAGGAGTGAAAGACTTGAATATAAACGTAGGCCTGCCGTTCTATGTACATCCACCGCCTATCTCACAACTAGAAGCGTATAGCCTCCAGGTTTGGAATACCTATTATTCTTTCGGCATGGAAGAAACTCGAGATTTTGCCCCAACTTCAACATGGCAAAAACACCACTGAACATTCATAGACGTGCTGCGCTGCGAAGTTCTACAGAACAAACGCGTGACTAAAAATTGAAATGAAAAGGATGAGTTTACATTGAGATGAGGAGAAACACAACGAACACAAATGGGCGCAGACTAACAACTGTTTATTCTTTTCTTTTTCCTCCTTTTCAATGCATAAGTTTCCCAATGCATGAGTTTGAAAAAGAGCGAACGCTATGAAATAATGATAAATGTCTTCATGAAGATGTGTGGACTTTCGATTTTTGTGGTGTTTTTCCCGTTTTCTGATAAACGTTCGGTTTTTGTGGTGTGAGAGGGGAACTTGAAGCTGGTGCTGGTATCCGCCTCGTTATGCTATGTATTGTCTCAGCAGTTCAATTTCCTTTTTGTTCAGTGCAATGGAAGGATCACTGACACACGTGCCGTGCTTCCCTGATGCTATGTGGAAGGCTTCTATGATTTCTCGCTTGTTTCTATTTTTCGATCTGTCCATGACTGGTGTGTTTCCGAATAGCGGTTCGCAGCTGTATCTCGCGCAATGCGCTGCTAAGTTGCCAGGTGCTTGCAATTTCCCGCATGAATATTTATGTTCTCTGAGTCTGTCAATTAAGCACCTCCCCGTCTACCACTGAACAACGCGACGCAAGACTTGCGCACAAGTATACCAGCTGCTGCGTTATAAATGTGTTTCAAATCCCGTGCACTTATGGAAAAGTTTATGTGGGACAAACTGCTCGGTGTTTAAATGTGAGACTGCAGGAACATGCCCTTTCGCTCAAATCATCACCATCTGGCCACTTAGCTGTTCACGTGAAAGTCTGTGGTTGTTCACCGATGTTCGACGATGCGGTAGTCCCTAGGCACTCCCGCAACAAGAGAGCTCGTGAACGCCATGAGGCAAAAACTATATTGGCAGAAGCAGGTTCATGTATTAGCGCACCGTCTGTGGCACTCTCAGCAAAAGCACAGTTATACCCGAAAAAATTCGCATGGTTTTCTCAACACCTACCATTTTAATTTGAGGAATTTTTTTTTATTTATTTATTTAAACACGCTTTCACTGCGTTTATTTCTTTTCCTTTTTTTTCTTTCTTTTTTAGATGGTATTTTTTATCACTCGATTCCCTCACCCCCTTTTCGTCCTTTTCGAATTCCTTCAATACGCGTCAGTTGTATGTATGCGCTCTGTCCTGTCCCCTTCTTCCCTTCCTAACCATTTGCGCTTTTTCACATCATCATACACTATGCCTATCGGCTCCTCTCCACGAGATGCCCAGGCCCGATGCCCCATCTTACAACATGCACGAGCGGCTAGATAGAGCCGCCTAGCCGCCGTTTGTTTTCCAATTTTTAGTCTAGAATGTATTGTTTAGATTGCTATTGAAGACATATGAAATATATATATTTTTAGCAACATGTGAAATACTTTTTGGGAAGCGACCGCCTTGCATCGGAAGAGTTTTGCTGAGACTACATACACGGTGTGCGGAGGTAAAAAAAAAAAGAAAAATAACCGAACTTGCCGGGGGCAATGTTACTTCCTGTTCGCCTTGTATTTGTTTGTTCTTGAGGACCCTCAGCGAGTAGCGCATACTTTAAATGTCTCATCGCCGAGAACTATCTGCGGCATCTCTTGAAATTTACTTGTATTAGATCGACATCCCTTCCTCTTTCCTTTAGTAAAAAAAATAAAAGAGTATTTGTCCCTCAAGAAAATGACAAATCTGCCGCAGGTATCCTCGATGCGTCTCATGGACAACATATTCGACGAGCCTGAACCATATATTTGCGAACACCTTAAAACCTACAAATCCCTAAACGCGTTGAACTACTCGGGGAACGGCAAGGCATCGACAGTAGGCACCTATCTCCCTCCAGTGCGAAGTTACATGTCGAGCTACCCCGCACGATTTGACGAGCCGGCAATTGGTTTTAGCAGACAATCTTCCAAAAGCTTTTTTTACGCTTCCATTAGCACGATGCGAGTGTCTTTTTTTTCTAGTGTTTTAACTTACTTAATTTGGTACAAGGTTTCTTTCCCCTATCACCGTGCACATTGCATTTGTACGTGCCATAATGTCCCATCGAAATAATAGTTGTGGCACAGGCTAGCTGGTGAATGTTCTTACTCGAGACTTCGTTGCGTTTGTCTCTTCCTTTTTCCTCGCCTCGGGAATTTTTCAAGTATGAATGATGACTCATCGCTGTACAGATAAAGTCGATTGAAGTGATCGAAGCGCCTCCTTCTCGAGTTTGTCGCTTTGCGCCATCTGTCGGCAGCATATCGAAGTAGGCTAGCATCGTCAGCCAATGCCGTCGTCCTGCGATCACCCTGGCTTGGTGACGTCGGTGGCGTCCCTTGCCTGTCGATAATTGAAATAACTTCACATGAGACACTTTGTTTGTGCAGGTACGCATTATCAAATTAAGAGCACCAGACTTGGAGAGCATAGATCCCATGGAATTTCTGGCTAGTGAGCCAACAGTCGTCGCTCACCCAGCCGGACAGAAGGTAAACATGGGAGAAACGAAAATTTTTCTCTCCCCCTGTCATGGCAGCAAATAGTGGCAGCACGCCCCATATAGCGAAACTACCGAAGCCAACGTTACCAGAACACTCAGTTAAGAGACACTCCCTCAAAACCCGGACCGCCCATGTACATCGGGACCGCACTAGATACGATTATAGCACCACTCTTTAGCGCGAGACAAAACATAAAAGTTGCCTAATGTACCTACTGCAACATGGCGCTTCAAGATGGTTCCACCGGCCCTTGCGCCACTCGACTCAACCGGTACGTGCAGGTGTCTAGTTCCCGAAGTGGCCGCTGCGAGAGAGACAGCGCCGCTGCGATCGCTTCTAGTTCGGTTTTCAAGTACGGATCGGAGCCACTTATTCAAAGAGGGCTCCTGTGGCAGTTTCCGAGCTGAGTTCTTCTAGTGACGTTGACCGAAACCAAGGAAAATAAAGCCACATCGTCTGCTTCAATGGTAGCTTGGGGCTTCTGGCGCTACCGTTTATCGTGCGAACAGTTAGCACCAACTCGTTGGCGCGTGAATGGCAAAAAGAATAATAAATATTATTTCGCTGAGAACCGTAAGCAGGCCTGGAGCTTTAAACTGTCGGTCAAGAAGGTTGAAATGCCTTGTTGTCTGTGCTCTTGGTGTAACATCATGGAGTCTATCCTGCGAGGAGATGGTTGGCTTCACTACATGGCAGGTTTGTGCTCAACGCCTAGGTGCATGGCTCCACCACACGGAGACCACGCGTACTATTTGCCTTCTCCCTTCCACTTGTCAGTTCATGGAGCCGAAAGGCAATGTGTAACTGTGTAGGAGTCGCAGGGCAGGAGCGTCGTCAAGGTATATGTACATGGGTAGCGAAGCTTCGGCCAAAAAGCGGTTCAAAACAAATCGCCAGCGACATCGACCTGGAGGGTCACGTGAAGGATGCGATTGAAGCGCGACTAGGAGAGGTGGGGACAAACATTATCAAAATTAATTAGTTTGTGACTAGAAGTATAATCATTGGTATTTTTAAACAAGCTAAATATAATTATTAGATAATATCAATCATATTTAACGCGGTACAAAATTCAAAACTGTCTTTGTTTTTGATAATAGTATGCATACTTCTTATTAGCGTCCTCTGTACGCCACTAGCAAAAAGGCCGACTAGCAATAGCGATATTTGCAGTTTTTCGTAGACCTCGTGGCGCGCGGAAAGGCAGTCTGCTGACGTCCGTCTGCTTGCTTGTGTTTGGGCCTCCACGTGCTCTTCGCTTTTAATTGTTATAGCGGCAGCTAACACCGTTTCGGGAGTTTTGTTGTTTGCTCGGGCGTGATTAACCCAGTTACCTGCGCGGGAACTCGGCTGTCGTGCGCCTGGATCTTGGACGCTACTGCGCCCAAGGGGCTCAGCGTCTTTTGCGACGATGAGCACAGCGCGATACGCAAAGAAACGGTGCTCCGTGGAAATCTGGGAAAGCAACACCCGCACGGCTGGCATCTCGCTGTACCGGTTTCCCCTCGACTCTCGAAGGTGAGACTTCGCTACTGTCAGTGACGTGCCTGCTCTGTGATGTATGCCCCTTGTTCGTTCTCCTCTAACTCATGTTAGTTTTACCTAAAGCTATTAGGGTTGTCTGGATGTGCACAAGAAACTGCACCTGAAGGCGTAATATGTTATACTAGGAATGTTTTAAGTTCGAAATCACTCTGACTTCGCAGTGTGCCGTCATTATAAAAGTGCCCACGACATTAAAATTTACCAGTACCGGCCTGGCTCTGAGGATCCTAGTGTCGTGATCATCGGCGTGGTTATCAGTGGTACAACACAGATATATAATAGGGCATCTGTGCGTAAGACTCGTGTTTTTACTCTTTATGGTGTACACAGAGCAGTGATGTCATGCATTTGTTAAGGTTCTTGCACTGATCTGCTTTGGTTTGTGGACATTTTGGCTACATTTTCTTTTCGTAGTATTCATGGCACCCTCATAGCACCATGCCTTATCTGCAGGCGCGAAGCCTGGGTTCGGTTCTGCAACAACCGAAGTCTACAGGGGAAGACTCCATGGCAGCCACGAGGCAGGGTAGTTTGCTCCTTGCATTTCGAGGAGTCAGCTCTCCTGCGCCCTGGACACCTCCGTCACAATGCGTTGCCAAGTGTGCTTCCCACAAAAAGTAAGCAGACCAATAAACCTTCCGTGCACTTTGTGACTAAGCATGGTTAACCCGCTCTTAGAAAAATGTTTACCACATGGGGTTGAAATATTGCTTTTGTGGGCTCATAACATTTTTATATTATTTGCAGGGACGACACATGGCGACATTTCCAGCAAAAGCTCTCCAGGTTCAGCAGTTTTGCATGGTGAGCTTTTTCACTGAAACTAACATAAAGTGGCAGCAACTGCCAGCACCACTGCATTACCTCACGGTCTTCGTGACTTGAGCATTTTGCAAAAGAACTAGGTGAGATTAGCTTTGAAAAGCTGGTTGAACATGGACAGAGGTACTGCTAGAAGTTCATTTCAGGCCCGTTTATAATGACATGTTTTACTTGAGGTGACATAATCAACGTCCCAGAGCATCTTTTGCCTTGCCGACACCCAGTCTTCCATAATAAAGCTGCCCATGAAAGAAAGTGATTTACATTTTGTGTTAAAATAGGCGAATTCACCATAAATTTGCAGAGGTGAGTGTGACACCCTCATTGAGCTACACATGCTTCGGCAGTTCAGACTCGCGGAGCTTCTGTAGTCACCCTGACGACCAGTCTTCCGAAATGAAACTTTCGTGGGAACAAGGTGATTTTTTTTGTCGTGTGTTAGAATAGACACATAGGAAGGAATTCAACTACTATTCCATGGCCAACTTCACGCTAAATTTGCAGAGAGGATTTCGCCAGCCTCATCGAGCTGCACATACTCCGGCCACTCGGACTGGTGGAGTTCCTGTAGTCACCCTGACGACCAGTCTTTTAATTTAAACCTGTCATAAAAGAAGGTGAATATACTTTTTATGCATTCAAATAGGGGAATAAGGGAGGACTTCCTCTTCTCCTTTGCTAAGTTCACATTAAATTTGCAGAGCGGATTTCTGTGGCTTCATTGGACCACACATACTCGTGCACCTTACTAGAGAACAGTCGACTAGGGGCCAATAATAAGTGGTGGCCGAATATTGCTTGTGCTATCTTTTTTATTTCCTTTTCTTTGTGAGCTTGCTTTCTCAAGTGGTAGAAACAGCGCAACTTGACGTAAAACAGGAAACAAGGAGTATACAGACAGGCGCAGTAAAAGTACACAGAGAGGCACTGTTTCTGCAAGCTTAAATGAACGACCAACTCGTCCAACTTTCCACTCTGTTGAACTTGTTTTCTTACTTGCAGTTCTTACAAAAGCTTTTCTTTCTTTCTTTCTTTTTTTTTGCGGTTGATCACAGCTACGCTCTACGTCAAGATGCTGCTCCTGCTCAAGAGTCCAGCGCGGACGTGGCTGACATGGAGATTTTGGTTTCTTCACCGTCGCCTAGAGACTCTCTCTCTGGCTGTGCTGCTGGGCCTTCTCACAAATGTGAGTGCTTTCTATAATGCGAACTTTTTTCTTTTGCAGTTTTTTTTTTGTGAAGTTACAAAAGATCAGGCCGCAAAAATAAAAAGCCAAGGCTCGAAAAACACCAGGGGATACTAAACTTTATCTTGAGAGCAGATGACGCAAAGGGTCACATCACACCAGACCTACTAGCTGGCAGCTACAAATCGAAGTTTGTTCAAAGTTCACCACATTTTTGTTTCACGGTATTGTCATTGTCAAGCACACAAAAAGACAAAAAAAATTGTTCCACACGCAGGTGTTAACACCGTCAAATCAAAACAGCTGAACCGGTTTCACTGAATCATAAGCCTTCCCGCAAAACCTCACGTAAGACAGTGTTTTTTAAAGTTATCGAAAAGCTGCCGTGGTCATATGTGTGTGATGCTGAGCCTGTCATGGTCCCTTGTCCTATCTTCCAAACTTTAGTCGCCTGTTGTGCGAGCGCTTCACTGTTACAATGCCATGGGCATAAGTAAGGTATGGTCAAGCTTTAAGAAAATGCATTTCCCCATTTGGATGCCTATTTTGACTTGCATGTTTCTGTGTGCGCCTTTGTCTTTTTGGACTATCAGGTCTCTGGCCAACATGAAGCACCTAGCCCAACATAAAGATGTACTGTTGCTTTCCTAAACTTGAATTGCATGTGTAGTTTGTCAAATTCGCGGTTCTTGTTTAAAGACACTTCAGATCATTGAGGAATGCTCTTGAGCGTGAATAGATTACACATTTAATAAATTGATGGCGAATGCAAGTTTTTCTTGGAGGCCTAATCTGGGTCATTTGCCAAATTGCAGCACCCTGCAAAAGCCGCAGCATCGGCAACAAGAAGGTGAACGCCTGAGAGCCAAGGTGCGACAGCTTCAAGAGCGTAACAAGAGGCTGCAAAGAAGGCTGCAACGACAACGTCAGATGAGGACTGTTGCCGAAGTCGTTGAGAGTGTCCGCGTTCATGTGTCTCCTCGTGTCGCCGCACTCGTTGAAGCCCAGCTTAGAATGAACAATGTGAGCCGGTTTGGCCAGAGATGGTGCAGCCACAACAAAGCCTTGGCTTCAGGCCTCTACTTTCATAGCCCCAAAGGCTTTAAGTATTGCAGGCGACTGCTCAGGCTGCCATCAGTAAGGTCACTGCAGCTATGGCTTCAGCGTGTGCCACTAAAGATTGGATTTTACCCTGGCATTTTCGAGCTGATAAAGAGGCGGGCAGCTTCTTTTACTCGAGCCGATCGGGCCTGCAGCATAGTCTTTGATGAAATGCACATTAAGAAAGAGCTTTCATACAACCCCTCGTCTGACAGGTTTGAAAGACTTAAAGAACATAGTGGACAGCAAGGCAATAAGGCTCTCATGTTCATGGCGAAAGGAGTCGGAACACCGTGGAAGCAGCCGCTTGGCTATTTTTTGCTCACAAAGGCACACCTTCAGATGTACTAAAATATCTCTCTTTCCAGTGCTACAGCGCCCTTGTGGACGCTGGCCTGAAGCCGGTAGCTGTTGTATGCGATGAACGGTGCCAGAACGTGTCTCTTTTTCAAGCAACGTAACTGCCGAAAAGCCTTACGTAGAGGTCAATGGCAAGCCACTTTTTTTTTCCTTTTCGATGCTCCGCACCTTTTGGAGTGACTAAGAAACGTGTTATTTAAATACGGCTAAAAAGTTGGTGATTACACAGTGAAAAGTTCCTACATCAAGGAAGCTTATGAAAAGGACTGTAAACTTGAGATCGGTTCTATGCCAAAGCTGAAGGAGAAGCATTTTTATTTGACCTTCTCGTCAAAGATGTCGGTGAAGCTAGCAGCTCAAGTGTTTAGCAATCACTGCGCAGCTGCAATGTATGCCCTTGTTACTTCTTAGCAATTGCCAGCCACAGCTGTTCACAGAGCGAGATTCGCTGAAAGAATCGCCAGTCTCTTTGACAGCCTAAATAGCTCGCAGAAATTTGCAAAGACGCCATATGCCTCTGCAACCTGTAACGGCTCTATCCATGAGGAGTTTCTGAAAGAGTGCATTCTGGTTTTTAAGAGCCTGCAAGTACTCGGATGTGGAAGGCAGCCGCACTGCATTCGTGGCTTCTGTTTAACAGTTAGGTCTCTACTACTGCTGAGCAATCACCTCGCGGTTAATTGCGGTTTTTCCCACCTTTTAAACCGCCATCTGAACCAGGACACCTTTGAAAACACTTTTGCTGTTATACGTTCAAAATCAGGTGCAAACACGAACTCCACTTTCCGTCAATTTCAGGCTGCGTTCAGGCACCTCTTGATTAGAAACCTATTCAAGCTGTCAGAAAAATCAAACTGTGCTGATGACATGTCTCTCCTTGCTACGTTCCCAGCAGGCCTTTTGGCACCTTCTCCTCGTATTGCCTTAGGAAGCACAGTTTTTCTTACCACGGCAGACGATTCGCCTTCAAACTACCCTTTGACAATAGAAGAAAGCAACATGGTTTATTTTGCTGGGTGGCTGGCATCGAAATTCCTCAAGGTTCATTCCTGTGTAGGAACATCCCAGAAATATGAGTTGAGGACAGAAAATGCGTGTTTTTCTGAGGGAAATCAAGTGCTCTTGTATTTGAGTGTGAAAGGAACTGCCGACTCCCACTTTGGAATCCTCTCAGTTCCTTCTGCTTCTTTCATATTGTTTGTTGAAGCTTGTGAGGAAGTCTTCGAGACATGTATCAACAACCTAATTTCAAAGGAGAACGTAGGGCGGACTCTTTGTGTCCTTTTTAACCAGAAGATTTCAAAGTCTCTGACTGTATGTGACGAAAGTGTTTATGATAATTTGTTTTCTCTGATTGCCAGAGTCATTGTGCACTGGTTCGCGAGGAAAAAAAAGGCTGACTATTTGTTACAGTAGTAAAGTGTAAAGCTAGGCAGCAAGTGCGCAGACTACGTATGTGAGACCACCTAGAGTACTTTTTAAAGCAGTGCAGGCATGTTCTATTCGAGCCTTTCATTTTCTTCGGTTTCTTGAGGAGTAATGTAGTCTTCTAACTTATTTACATATATAGAGTTTAAAGCTGTGAAGCAAAACTGGCTTATGAAGTGCAGCATACCACAGGGCTCCAAGAGGGTTTACTCCACTTGGCTTCCTTGACCTGCACCAAACAATCGCTGCGTTGCAGTGTAGCAGCACCAGCAGATGCAAGTTAAGATATTTTTAGCATTATGGTACCTTGCCCAAGGAATGTGTAGAAAAGTGTAACTTTTCTGTGTATTACAGTTGTGGCCTCAGTTGTCGACGGAACACTGTGGAACCTCCGAGTTATTAGTGGCTGCCTATCAACTGTCAATGTCCTCACAACATCCAGCCGATTGTACAATGTCTTATGTTATAACAGTGTGCCTTATGTACAGATCTACTAATTTTCTTTGACCATGACCTTTTGAAAATAGTTGATACCGATTGTATAATTCTAGTGAGTAATCTAAGTGAATGATTGTAAGTGAATAAAACAAATAAAACGCGACTGTTAAAGCGACGTTGGACTTGCATTAGAGTTACTGTTGTGTATTTCATACGCCCAACACACTCCAGCGATTTGATTCACTCTTTTTTGTGACATTACATAATTTGCTTTAAGGTTTCTCACATATTTCCCAGGGATCCTGAAGGAACAAAAAGCAAAACACTGCGGCTGGAGTTTGACCACTGTGCAAAGACACGATGGTGTGACGAAATGAAACTACTCTCATAGCAGGTCGGCTAACAAAGTCGGCTGCAGAAAAAAAACATTTCGAACAAAATATAAAAGCAAGGGCAAATAAGGGTGTAAACGATCCAGTATTCCAGTATAGAGTAAACACGATGTGTAAACACCCCAAGAAAAACCCGAGACTGCAGGTAAAAAGAACGACATATACACTAAAAAGTATCAAACAAAGCTCAAACATGGAGCTATGTTTGATTCTTTTTAGTGTATATGTCGTTCATTTACCTGTGATCTCTGGAATTAGTTTTGTTTAATTTTCGCGCCAAACCGCACGCACGCATGACGTCACGTTTTTTTCCGGAAGTGTCGTCATTTCCTGTTGATTTTTTGTTCCGCCAGAAGTGTCCCCACGACTCATAGATGGCGCTAAAGCAGCTCCATGGGCCGCCATTTTTTCGACATGTGGGCTTCTATGGAAGCTTCGCTACCCATGTACATATACCTTGGCGTCGTCTTGATCGAATTGTCAAAGCGCAGGTTTAGCAAGCGAGCCTATACGCACGAGCGCTGGGAATGGTACCAAGTTGTGAACACCGCAAAAAGCTCCGCTTTCAGCTAGCTTTCATTGTCTTTCATCGCGTTGTGACTACGCGTTAGCATCGAAACTTTTTTGGGTGCGCCGATCGTATTGAAAGTCAGGTTAACAGCGTGCAGACGAAACAGACGACAGGCAGGGTGCAGAAAGACTAAGCCTCACTTGCCGACCGAGCGGTGCGCAACCGATGAAAGTACCGTCGATGCGCCAGGCTGTCTGAATTGAGTTGTATTTCCGGCGTCACTGAGCTTGACTTCATGGCGGGTCCTTGGTTATTTAAGCGTCCTTGCGTGTTCAAGATGTCAGCCCTTAAATAAATATAAATGACGACGATGATGAAAGGTACTACATGTATATTTATATGGAAGGGGGAAGCGCCCTCAAGTCCGGGATTAACTTAGCATATGTTGGTCGACCGTCACTGCTCGACCAGCGCCGAGCAGTGACGGTCGACTCATTATTAAACATGGACGACGTGCGCGCGGTTGCGTTGTCGGCTGACCGAAGCGAAACACGGGGAGGCGACGCACGGGATGATGCCGGCGGCTTACGGTATCCGCATCCGCATCGATAGTCGCGCCGGTCGACTTCACCGCAATACTTGCCAGAACTTGTTGAGGAACAGTTTGAAGAGGATGAAGTCGCCGCGGTCAAGACCACGGGTCCGAGCGAAGCGGGTAAAAGTAAACGAAGAAGCAAAACATGCATGAGGAGGAATAGAGCATCAAGTTTGGACCCTTGTTTTTTGCATATCATCTCTATATTTTGCCTGTAAAGACAGTATACAGGGTTTCTGCTTTTTATTCGAAGAAAGTTATAGTAAATGTCCAGTAAAACAAAATACACTACTGCTCTTTGTGCATGTGCGCTAACTGGGGGGAGGGGCATTATATAGGTTGCTAATCTTGGCGATAAGTTGAATAATGAATTAAAATTGGTTCGTTGTGTTTTTCATTAGTGAAACTAAACATATCGTTTAAATTTAGACACTTGCTGAGCATAATGAGAAACAACTGAAAAAGTTAACTTTAGAACGAGTTAAAGTCCGTAGGGAACGCGGGGATGCACCAGAGTTAGCACTCGTGCAGCAGGCGCAAAGCTAGCAGTGGCAAAACGAGAATGATTGAATTACCATCCGTGATTCCCCACCGCTAGCTATGCAAATGCTGCAGGAGTGGTAAATTTGGTGCACCTTGCGTTCCCTACGTGCTTTATTTCGTCCTAAAATAGATATATTTAGCGGTTTTACACCATCTGAGCAAGCTTCTAATTGAAGCCATGTGTTTAATTTCACTAACTAAAAAGGTGAAAGAAAGAAGTAATTATTCAACTTATCTCGAACAGGATAACTCACGTACAGGAACGGTATTATACCCCTGTCAGAATGGAAATTAAATGGCAGTTGCATCGATTGACATTTCGTGCGAACGGTGAATCAGCGTGTGATCTGTCGCGCGTGGAACACTCCACGCTCGGAATGTCACGCGCTGATTGGCCGATTGCTCAACCGCCAATCAATCGATGTAATTTCCATTTTATACCAGTCTGTCAGGAGTACTAAAGGATATCTTACAAATTTTTTGTAATAAATTGGTCTGAATTAAAATCAAACTCCGTCTAGACACGTTTGCTGTAGATATACACGACGAACAGAAGTTCCTTCAGTACACGCATTTTAGATTGGACTCCACTATTTCGCTTTGGCACTTTGTGTAGATATGCGGGCGAATGCGGCGCGACGGCTCTCATGTTTGCGCAATCCTTGTGAGCCCGGGTTTCTGTTATTGCACGCTAGCTTGTATGTCGTCTCTGGGTGGCCTGAGATGTGCGTCATGTGTACTGCTGACGCTACCGATATGTGCTCGTGTGGAACGCGTAATATCCTATACTTCAGTTGAGTTCAAGTCCAACCGTAGCCGACGCTTCGATACGACGCAGCCAATCAAGCAGCGCCAAAAGTGCATCGTCACGACGCTCATCGGCTTTATGCGTTAGCTATATCCGGCTAAAGCAATCGCGAACTCTGAATGCACCGTAATCTCGCAATTTCAACGTGAAACGTTCTTCGGCAAGGCGTTCGACATTTCGTGAAGGCCAGATAAAAGCGTGACCTCGAGGCTAGACACTGATTGCTCCGACGAGTGGGAGAGAAAAAGCGAGGCGCTGTACTCCGATTGGTTAACGGGGAGGTCATCTGCCTAGATGTGTAGGCGAGGACGAGCTCGACCACCTGTGCGCACCGAGGGAGAGGATCTCGTGAGTATGGAAGGATCTGGAAGGTCGCCAGGTTAATCAGCCCGATTAGGGGTAGTATCGCTTCATTCTAGGGACAACTGCAAAGTGTACACGTGGTACGCGTTAAACTATCTGATGCCATATATTTGTTCTCCTTCCCCTGATTGGTCTAGCCGAAAATAGCATGCCCAGAAAGGCAACGAGACGCCGTGACGATGCGCGTTTCGCCCTGCTTGATGAACTCTATTTATTTATTTATTTATTTATTTATTTGTACATACTGCTGGCCCGTGGGGCCGTGGCAGGGAGGAAAAAAACACACGCACACACACACACAAAAGAATATGACTCATACCTCCAACAGAGCTACGAACAATAAAGCGGTTACAAGATTAAATACAAAACGCGCCGAGAGCGTAAAATAGAAAACAAGAGCACTAAATGCGCGTAAAAAGTGAGAATAAATTTAACAATGACAATATACTGACAAATATTATCACCAATAACTAATAACTGAGGGTACGTGCCGTGTACAAAAACACTATATACAAAAATAAAAAAAGCAGTACAATATTTAAAGTATCACGTAATATATGCATATTTAACCCCAAAAAGAGAGAAAAAAAAAGATAAAATAACACCAAGGCAATATGCTCACTCTTTAAACAGAGTAAAAAAGTCTAACGGCGTCTTCGAACACTGAAACATCGTTGTGACTTACGATATGTTCGGGAAGCTTATTCCAATCGTTAATTGTATTTGCAAAAAAGGAATACTTGAAAACATCGATCATCGGTGTTTTCCGGTGGTTGCGTCCGTATTTTAGTTAAACAACATTTTGTGGTACTTGCCGTCATTTAAGAATTTTTGTGACCGGAAAAAAAAAGGCAGTTCGTTTTTTCTTTGTGTGTAACTACCGCGTGTACACTAACGCCTCGATCCCACTTTGAACAATCCGCGAAAATCCGGGTTCCACGTATCGCGCTGGGATTTACTACAGAAGTGCCCGAAGGTATAGTGCATTTTTTAAATGAGAGTCTGAATGCATAAAACCTCCGGAGTCAAAAGAAATAAAACTGGTTTAATTTATGGGAAAATTATTGTTGGCTTTAACGAAAATATTCCCTGGAGAAGGGAAACAAGAGAGACAAAGGGCAAACACAAATCTCCAAACACAACTAGGTGCCTTGTGCGCAACCGAAAAAATCCGCCTGGTCCGGGTGTCGAACCCGGGACCTCTCTATTTGCAGCAGACCGTCTAACCAAATAATCTAACCATGTTGTTTTTTTTCTTTTTTATTGCATAAATCAGAAAACACATGTCATATAATTATAAAAATTCTCTGCAAATTTTTCGCAGGCTATGTTAAAATGTTTTTATTTCCAATAGCTCTTTGCAAAGGCCTAGCCATTTGGGCTTGAGCTCACGGGTGGAAAAAAGCACTTTCTATTTGTTTAACAAGGTCAAAGAAAT